AAGACCACCTCACCCTCTCAAACTCCCTGACAGGAGGCTGTAGTCAGGTGGGGGTTGGTCTCTTCTCCCAGGCAACCAGCAGCAGGACAAGAGGGCACAGACTCAAGCTCTGCCAGGGGAGGTTTAGGTTGGATATTAGGAAGAGATTTTTTATGGAGAGGGTGCTCAGGCATTGGAATGTGCTGCCCAGGGAGGTGGTGCATTCACCATCCCTGGAGGTTTTCAAGCTGAGACTGGATGTGGCACTTAGTGCCATGGTCTAGTGACCACAGTAGGGTTGGACTCTTTGAGGTCTCTTCCAACCTGGTTAATTCTATGATTCTATGATTCCTTAAACACCTCCAGGTCTGGTGACTCCACCACCTCTGTGCACAGTCCCTTCCAATGTCTAATCACCTCTTCTGTATGTAAATTCTTCCTAATGTCCAACCTGAAATTCCCACTGTGCTTGGCTTGGTTTGGCTTTACACAGTACAGGTTCTGGTTCTGCCTTTCCCCAAATGTAAAGCAGAACACTTCCTGATCCTGCCGTCATGGTTTTTAGCTGGGCAAAGCATCCAGGTGGGTGTTCTGGAGGGCAGCAGGAGCAGGGTGCACTCCTGGGCTGCTGCCTCCCCTCTTCAGCCTGTCAAGAGCAAGGAGATCTCAGCCTGTCTGGGACCACCCAGGCAGCACCTCCTGGAATGCACGTGTGTGAAGTGCTGCCTCCTATACCTATATAGCACAGCACTTAAAACATACCCTAACAGAATGTATGGGGGCTTCAGATGGAAATCCAAGTAGCTGTACAGCTTCTGCATACGTGTGGTAGCTGAGCCACCATTTCCTACACGTTTCCTTCCTCCACTGGGCACAGACCAGGGGGCCATTCTTTTGAAGAAGACCTTGCTCGTGGTTACAAGTACAAATAATTCAGTGCTGACATAAGAGAAAGTAGAAGTCAGACACGTAATTCCATATGTGCTGTTAGCCTAGGAACCTGCATTTCAGGTATTTGGCTTTCTTGTCTAAACATGTAGGAGACACAGGATGTGTTATATAACCCTCCTCTGTGTATTTGGATTTAAGAGAAAACATAGCACCAACCCTACCTGACCTTGGAAAACCAGCAGGGCTCATATACCTGTTGTGTCCCTCCATGCAGTTATCCAGCAGGACTGTCCTAAGAAAAGAGTGCAGCCTCTCCTGGGCAGGCAGGCACAGCAGACAGAGCAGTTTACTGTTGTCTTCCATGGGCTTAACCAAGGCAATTCATAATCCTGATGGTTTGAGTGTTTTCTGTGGAACCACTCCTGTTGGTAGAGTTACTGCACATGATACACTGTGTGGATTCATCGTGGTTAAGTTTATGCTTTACCAGGAGGATTGTCCCACTGGATACATCTTCCATCTCTCCCCTAATGGAATATCAAGAGTAAGGAACTGTGTACAGATTTAATGGTCTCTTTCCTCCCACCACTGATGGCAGTACACGCTGCTCCTCCCTCTGCCATACCCTTAGCCACAACACATGTGCCTATTTACCCAAACCTATGTAGTGGATCAGAAGAAGAAATTTAAAATTACTTTAGCCTAAGCAAAATACAAATTGGTGGTCTGTTAAAATAGAAGCAAAAGGTTGGGCAGGGATGTGATTTTACATGAAAATAAACAAAATGATCTGCTCATGTTCAAACAGCAGCGAAGACGGAGACACGTACTCTGTTGGCACTGGATAAAATCGCAAATCTGTGTGACAGTAAGGCTCCAACCAGAGTATGAAGAGAAGAATTTTGGATGCATAAAAGGAATCTACATGCACGTCAGAAATAGTTAATGATTATAAATGCCTGCAGCTTTTCCTTCAGAGGTTTGTGACACTGTGTAATGCACTCCTGTACCCAAAAGTCAGTGCTGTTTCTTGCCAAATGGGAATCCTCCATGTGGTCCTGCAGCACAAAGCCCATTCTTCCTTCATTCAGCAAAAGTGCTCAATAACCCCCCTTGCACACTCAAAGACATTTTTCCTTGCTCAGCTGCAGTGTGACAATACAGAGCAGGAAGAGATTCATCCCTCCACACCCCCTGGAAACAGGAGCCTTGATAGAGAATTGGAAACCTTTCCTGCAGTTCTGCCAAACTGTACTACTGTGCACCACCCAAACCACAAAGAACCTGAAGAATGTTCTCTGGTGCAGTGATTTTAAAGCAAATTTTATGTGATTCAAAGAATCTTTCTGATTTCTGTTCAGACTGTTGCTCTATCAGTAAGAGAATCAGCTCTGTTACCTTCTATGTTTAGCACCCCAGAATGCAATTGCCCTGTTCTGTGATGCTACCACACGGTTAAGCAGTCCATCCCTGCCTTGCAAAGGGGAGATAAAGCGCAGCACACTGACAGCAGCACAGCAAGCACAGCACAGCTGGAGGCGAAGCCAGATGCCATGGCAGGCTAACAAGCTGATGGCTGTCAGAAACAGCAACAGTGCCGAGCCAGAGTATGAAATTCTAGAAGAATCATCACTGTAGGCGTCAGGGAACCTCACGCAGCTCCCGAGGGAATCGCCAGTTTCCTCAAACTGCTGCTGGAAGGAGGCTGTTTTCCTTTGTCCCTGCCAGCGCGGGTGCACGGCCCTCCCTCCCACATCCTCTCTGACGTCTGTCCTTGGTCCCCTTCCAGGCGGGCCGTGACCTGGCACGCAGTCCCACAGCTGTGCCAGATCCATCCCCAGCCTTCCCCCCGAGCTCATCCCGCCCGTGGCCGCCGGCCGAGCCCGCAGCCTCCAGCCTGCCCGAGAGCCCAGCGGCTCTGCAGGGAACTTCCAAAGCTCTGTGCTGCATTTACTCGTCCTGAATCTTTGCTTTTGTGTCGAGCTACCTCAGTGCCAGAGAGAAACTAAATGCTTTTGAACTCCCACACAAATATTTCATATGCAGACTGTAAACAGATATTTTGATAGCCTTTTCCTGCATACCACACACAGCCTTTTTCCTTGCTCTGGTTTAAGGATTTCTCATTCTTGCAAACTTCTCAATTACTGCCTGTTCATCTGTCCCACTTCACATCAAACAGAAGCACAGAATACACCTAACTCCACATTTATCTTTCGTTTAAACAGATTCTGACAAAGGTCTTCTGCAGCTTCTCCAGGCAGAACTTAGTTCTGGAAGCAGTGGGCTGCAGTGAGAACCCAGCATTTGTGGATTAGGGTCCTGTCCTAAAATAACAGAAGTTTCAACCAAATAGGTGTCACCCCTGAGGAGAGGGACAGAGGAAAGGAACAGATTAACTTGTGATAGCAGAAATTCTTTCTCTTGTGCGATAGCAGCTGACAGCAGCTGTAGAGGGAATGTACACAATGAAGGCATTAGGACTCCATACCCTATGCACAGACATGTTGGTAAGCACATACCCAAACATCCAGATGTTTGTCAACATATCATCTTTTGTGTGAGAGGTACCTAGGCAAGTAGGTTTTCCTAAGGATCCCACACATCCTTTAAAACAAAACTACTGGTGTGGCCATTTTAATTGTCACCTGTTTTTTCTACTTTTTGTGTTATTTTTCCCTCCTGAAACCCTTGAAAACTTCACTTAAAGGATGTACCCCAAACAGCAAACACTACATATAGACATACTCTTTTGCAGAAACAGGAGATTCTTTGATAACCAGAAATTAAATGTCTTCCCACCTATTAAGGAGAAAGCACACTCAATTCAGGTATGATGGATAAGAACTGCAACTCATATATGCTTTACAAATGAGAGGAATGCCCGTGTATGTTTTGTGGGTTACAATAGGCTCCATAACACCTTCAGTGACAGCAGGAACAGCTCAATAGCTGTGCAAGAATGTGCCAACACAAATTGTTATTTGTCAGTCAGTGTGTTACTGACTTCATCAGCACCCTCTGCTGTCACAGTGACATCATGTCACGGAAAAATAGTCTTAAAGGCTGCATATACCTGTAATGAGACTTGCCAAGGCCAGGAGTGTGGCTTTGCTTCCATGCCTGATCTAATTCTCCCTGCAGTGTCTACAATACACAGAGAAATACATTCAATAAGCAAAGTCACATCCCAACAGTGGCTCACTAATCCTAGGCTCAGTGACTCCTGTAACTTGAAATACTGAGGGAGCAGATAAGCACTAAACACAAATCCTTAGTCATGTTCCACATACACTGCACACTAATTTTTTTAAAAGCTGCCTGACACACTAGGGATGTTAAAAATGCTTGAAATTTAAGAAATCAGAACATCAGTGAAAATGTTTCCCATGAAAGTGTAGAGCTCACTGCCAAAATTTGAGAGACCTCTTGTTTCCTGAAGAGCTGGGCTTGTGGTTAAACCCTCCACGTGGCTCAGCCTGGAGGCAACTGGCTTTTGGGACAGGGCAGCTGCTTTGTGTTTGGCTGCTTGGAGGACAGCTCAGACACAGGCTGATGGAAAGCAGTTAGTGTTCAACAGCTGGGCATGACACTAAGTTTGAGTTGGCTTCAAGATATTGTCTCTGAAAAACTATGCATTCCCAGGGACTCATGTTGCATTAATTAGAAGGCAAACAAAGACAAAGCACTTGATCCTGCACAATGTATTTCTGTAGATCATTCACTACCTCATTCTTGTTATGGCAGGGTTGTGGATATGAGCTTAACCTAGGCAAGGTTACTATTCGTCATCTTTGGCAAAAGGCAGTTGGCTTCTGTAATGCTTGAAAGGTAGGAAAGCAATACAGGAAAGATTTGCTCTCTGACACAGGGTAGGAAACTCCAAATTGAATATCCAAATAAAAGGAAGTACTTCATTTCATGTAAAGGCAAATAACATCCAGATATTCAATTTTTCTATGACAGAAGTAACAAAAAATGCAAGTAAGAACTTGCCGAGAAGAAAGTGTGTGGGAAAGGTGCAGACCTGGTGACCTAAGTGGGGTGCTGGTACTACCATGGACACCTGTATTCAAACATGAGGGAAGGGCCTCCAGGGAGGTGAAAGCAGAGGAGATGCATGTCCCTGCTTTCTGCAACCCCAGGCTAGTTCACAGTGTCAGCACTCGGGCACAGCACCGAAGAACTTACACTGAGGGGAAGGAGGCATGGTAAGAGTGTATAAACAATTTTGACCCAAAATTGTTTTTACAAAGTTTCAACCTACTTCAGAAAACTTGTTCTGTCACAAACATAGATTGAGCCTGTAGTGAAACAGCAGTGTGATTTTGGTCACTAAATATTTTGAACCTCCATCCCCATATACACACACACACATACTCCAGTCAAAATTAGAGCAGGAAAGGACTCTCAGTGCAGGCTTATAGAAGAAGATACCTTAAAATAGGTGTCATCTGTTTTCTCCGAAATACTTGTCCCATATTTTCCCGAGATCCTTTTTAAGAAAGCAGCTACAGCAGCACGGCACTAAATTAACCCCTGATTCTACTGTTAGAGTGGGGTTGATGCTGAAAATAAGTGTGAAATTTATCAAATACAGATCACTACGAAAACAAGGAAGAAATTACAACATAACCCATCATACCATGAATTCAAATTAACATACAAGTTTTCCTAAAATTGGATCCTCTGAGGCAACAGCATTTACAGGATTTTCCAGACAAAGCGGGCACAAGACAGAATTTAACTTGCCTACATGCAGGATTTTCAGCTCAGTCCCAGTCTGGGGAGAAGCACTACAACCAGCACCAGAGGCAGGGTAAGCAAGTTATCTACAACTGCTGTAAAAAGTCATCTGAGGAGGTGAAAGCCCTGACTTTATGCATGTGTCATTATTGAGGGTGTTGTGCCTGTGTCGGGGGAAGGACCAGAAACTCCAGCTCCTGGTGTTGCTGCCAGGGCAGCACAGCACAGGTCAGGTGATGGCACCCAAGCCTAGATAGTTCTGTGTGCTTCGTGCACTACGAAGAGCTGCCCATCAGAAGGTGTGTGTTGGAACACACAAACAAAAGGGTGTTTGAGCAAGGTTCACTGCACCCCAAGCTGTGACCTCATCTCTGCTTTACAGTAAAAGTTGTAGGAGATAAGCAGGAACTAGAAGATGCCAGGGAGGAAGAGTGGGTCTGTCCTGCCAGGGTGTGTGCAGCACTGAGTGCCAGGTGGAGCTAGGAGATGTAATCCTGGATGGCAGGAATTCACCAGGGCACTTGACCCAGATTCCTTATGTTCCATTGCCTTTAACACCATAGGAGACAAAATCTCCCCTTCATCACACTTGCAACACTGCTGGTTGCTGGAGTTAGTTGTCTTTTGTGGCCACAGGTGAGCAGGAGGTGGCTGGAGTGGGATGGAAGTCTGCTGGTCCTTCTTCTTGCTTATGTTTTCTAAGCTTCCTTCATCTGAGTGGCATAGCCTGTAGTACACTGAAAGCCTGATAATAAGACAGATGACATCTGTTTAGGTCACATATTAGAAAGGATTAATGCTTCTAAAGACTTAGAAGCTACAGCTTAGTACTCTGCTATCTGAACACATTGGCCCTGATACATGCAGTGGCTGTCAGCTGAAGACTCAGCATTTCTACCACTTGAGAAAGATGGAAGTTAGACATCCAGGTGACCGTGGCAAGGGATGTGGCACTGTTCCCTTCACTGATGCAGGCTGTCGGTAAAAGCCTCAAGCAACTGTGTGCTTAGTCTCGCGAAGGAGCTCCGGGAGGAAGAAGCAACTCCATGGCACTGGTTTTTGCCAGGGGCAGAGGTGCTGCCCCACAGAAAATGGACATACTCATTCCAGCTGGCAGAGGTGAAAAGGGAGCATGCCCATTTTTATATGGAGAAGAATTTCTGGGTGCAGGTTTTTTCTGAGTAAGAAAAGGAACAAAATTCTCACTATTCCACATCACCCATAAAGGTTACCCATCTCTTCCCCTTCAAAACCTCCTCTCACTAATCCATGTCACCCATAAAGCTTACCCATCTCTTCCCCTTCAAAACCTCGTGGCTCTGTAGAGCTATTAACTGTAGAGGGGCAGAGGAGTGAGATGCCCCAAACTGTAACATCAGCAGAAAGCATCATGGCTCACTCCCTCCACAGACACAGTACCTGCAGACATGAGCAGCCTGGGGCTCTATACACAGTCTCACAGGCATTAGAGTCCCCTTTTTTTGCAGAGGGTCAGCTGGATCTTGTGATCTCTGTAATTAACAAGGCTTTGGAAAGAAGCTCAATAGGCACATTGTGTTTTTCATTTCAGATCCATCATTCTACATGGAGGGAAAAGAAATAAACCTTATGAATCAATCTTAGACCCCTAAAGTCCCCTGAAAAGGAGAGACACGAGTGACTGATGCAGCGAGTTCCACTAAGGTTTTCAACTGGTACTGTGGGAGTTGATTAGAATTATTTATTTCCAACTCATAAACCCACATGCTGCCTCTTTCTCTCTTGCCAATTAACAGTATTACTTAACACTAATAGGCTGCTTTCATTTTCAAGGGGCTTAAGAAGACAAATTAATCACCTCAACATGTCTGAAAGGAACAGATGGCAACGAAGTATTAACATTGCAATTTCACAGTTGGAAAAGCTCCTGAGAGAGAGGGCAGTACCAGTGTCTGGGGGCACCTGGCCCTGCTCCCCATGTGGAGCTGGGGGTTCCTCAGGCTCGTCTCCGCTCTGAGCTTCTGCTTTATCCCAACCTCACCACACATAACTTTTCCTAAACAAAGCTACACTGTTTTCCTTATTCTCTCTTTAACAGGCAGTAACATCCTTCCAGAATGCCTCTTACCTCAGCACATCTCCCAGCAGGTTGCTACTGCTTTGGATTTAAAAGACTAAATGTCTATCCAATAATGCAATTAGCACAGTCTGTCATTATTTCTTACTGGCTATAAGCAGAGAGGTGATCAGGAAGAAATATATTCCCCTGTCCGTACAGTGGAGATGATCTTTTTCCCTGGAACATCTTGGTTACATTTGGGTACAGCTCAGCTGTCTGTTTTTTTCATGGATTCTCTGAGGCAATGGCATTTGCAGGATTTTCCCCTGACTCAGAGGACTGTGGTCACAGAGCAGTGTTGTTCTGTGGGGCCTTTTGGCTTGGCCATACAACACACACTGGAAGGAAGATAAGCTTTCTCTAGACCAGGGGTTCCTGCAGCAAAACTGATGTCTGAAGGGAGAGATCTGTGGCCATCTTAGCAGAACCAGTTTAGGATCCAGGTCTCTTCCAGCAGCATGAGCCCAAAAGCAAGTGGTCTGCAGACACCACAGATTGAACTGGGAGTGAGAGTCCACAGCACACCTGTCATGGACTGCCAGCTTCAGAGAGGCCCTCAGCAGCTCAGCCCCATCTCTGCTGCTGTCTCCCCATGGCCCCAGGCAGGAATCCCTGGGCAGTTTGTTATGGGGGCACCCAAGTCACAGGGCCCAGAGTGAATTTGGTTAGGTGACCCTTCCACCTATCTCCAGCCATTAAGCAACCTGTCACAAACACAACTCTAGAAAGCTGTTTTTCAGAACAAATTAACATTTTCAGAAGACCAAACAAATCTATACAATGATTTAAAAACTAACTGATATAACAATAACTAAGCAGCTTTCTAGTGTTTAAGTTGGTTTTTTAAAGCATAGATTTAACTATGGAAGGTTTTTATTTAAAACATTGAGAGAATACCCTCTATTTCAGTATTTAACCCCCGAATCAAAGATTCTCTCAGATTGAAATTGTGCAAATGATAATAGTCAGTGTCTGGCATGTTTTGGCCTCTTCTCTAGGAATAGTTTCAGTAAATATGGTGATACATCTCCTTTGTTACTGCAGCAAGATAATAATTCAGAGTGAAATGAATTATGCTAACACCTTTTCAGAGCTATTTCATCAGCGTACTGATATCAGTATCAATTCCCTTCAATCTGTGCTAAATCGCCAAGCTAAGCATCTCAGCCCATTATCAATCTCACAGCCATCAAGTATCATATACAATGAAATCCTTCTAGAGACATTCATTAGCATCCAGGGATGGCATAACATATCCCAAATACTGCATTAACGGTGGCTGCTCCTATTTGTTAAGAGAAGAAGGAGCACTGAGGCAAGAGGGCTAGGCACCCACTGTGCCAGAGCAGCCCTCACTGAGGACTCCTGGGAAAGGTAACCCTGATTTGCTCTGCTATAACTGGTACTCGAGCATTCATGCTGGGGATCAGAGGCAACAAGATTGAGATGCAAACTGGTTTACAAACAGGCTCAAGAAAATCGTATGCCCTGATTTCACCCTAGCTTGACAAGCACCTGTGTTCAGCATTGACCCACTTGGTTACAAATCTAGTGAAAGTTTTCCTGCTACTTTATTTATATTTGAAGGTAGAATGTAATGGATTTTGATTTTCCTAAGTTAGAAGACATTAAAAAACAGAGCCAGAGTTCTCACATTTACAGGAGTAACACTTAGAGAATACTTAATATATAATGTGACTGCATTAAAATTTTTTTTAAAACTGAACCAAAATGTAAAGTGAATCCAAGTTGCCTTTTTTTTTGAGATATCCATCATACAAGTGAAATAACTTATTTCATCCGTGTAGCTAACATTCAGATGAGTGTTTGTTGGGGTTTTTTTCCCCCTCAGATCTCCATTTATATACTTTGTACTTTGAACCTTTCCAAAAGCATAGGAAATCCTCAAACGCAAACACTACCTTTGTAAACAACAGCAACCCCGATTAGTATCCTAAAGTCTCACAATGCCCATAATGAGTAAGCACCTGGTTTTCTGGACTTGCAAATCATTGGTACCCTTTCCCCTTACTTGTTATCTATTTTGCTCACCCAAGAATGGTAAAGAGTGTTTAGGATCATAGTAGCAAGTCCATACCAGAGCATAAACCGTAAGTAATCGATACGAGAGCTGTATGGAATCTAAGAGTTGTTCCAGCTTTTATAGTACAAGAGTCAAAGCATTCAAGGGACTTTGCTATACTGTTCCAGTCCCTTCTGCAAAATATCTCTTTCTGACCGTTTAGATACTGTTGGTCCTGTTGTATCATCTTCCTAGTGTTGAGGACTTTTTTTTGGAGAGGGGTGGGAAGGAGAATACAGATTATTCCACGTGTCAAAAAGTATGGATTACAATGGCCATGGGAGCAAGATACACTTGTTCTTTTAAAGCTTTAGTTTGACTCTTCAAGTCTTTAATTCTCCTGCACACCCAAGGACAAGCTAATAGACAAGACAAGGTTTTAGACCTATGTAGTGCTTAAAATTTTCCAAGTGTAATATCCGAAGAAATGGAAAATCAATGTCTCATACTCTGGACCATAAAATAAGCCTGTATAGAAACTGTCCAGCTAAACTCTAAATAATAGTGGAGTGATTTTATTCAGTCACTCATTACTTCTTTATTTCTGTTAAAGCTTTAATAAAAGGAATTTTAACATCCGGGATCTTTATCAAAACTTGGATGCTCACAGCTCTGGAAGCACCCTGAGTAAGGCATCATATTCCAGTGGTTACAGACTTAGTCTGTATAAAACTACTTTTGAGCTCAGACTTTATTGAGGCCAAAGTCCCAGGGCCTGAATGAAGCCTCCTGAACTCAAAGCAAATTTCCCAGGAGCCAGCTCAGTTTAAATTCCATTTTGTCCAGGAGTGAAAATTTGATCTTGAACCACTCTACATTATTAAATTAATGCATCATAGCACATTCCAGACAGCAAGTCCTACATTTAAGGATTTTCAAAATGAAATTTTAAAGCTGTCCTATTCACCAGGGGCTCCTGTTCATATACAAATGTCAGGTGAACATTATGTAGACAGCTTGCTAACTTACTGGAACAAAACACAAACCAAAAGAACAAAACCCACAACCACACACATTTAAAGAAAGAGTGGGAAATTCCACAGCAGTTAATTTTGAGACAGAAATCAATGTTCCTTCTTTCTCCTCATCAAAAAACACTGTGCATCTCATTTCCCGAAGAATCTTAGACATTGACCAAAGGCCACATATGACACTGGAAATGATGTTCTCAGCTTCCTTGACAAACCTTTCACTTTGCATTACACTCTCATAAAAGATTTCTCACTGAGAAATTGTTTGCAAAGTTGTTTTTAGGATAAAATAAATCTTTAAGCTGCCCAAATGACCAAGGCACTTGGAACAAATAACCTTAGAGCTGTACTTTGGGGAAGACACAAGGTCTCACTTGCAGCAGATGCTTGACGTCAGACCAGAGAGGGAACACAAGACGAGCAAAGGTTACATGCAAACTGTCCCCTGTGGCTTATGCAACAATCAAATAACCACTGTTCAGGATAGATGCACATAGGAACAACTCACTGGAAATTACTTTTAATACAAGCAAAACAAAACTGCTTAGGAGTTGTAGGGTATGATGTTAAAACCAGACTAATCTGAACAGCTTTTGTTTCATGTCTCTAAAGCAAGCATTCAGTAATTCACATTACATGAGTCATCTTTGGTTAGGTGACCCTTATAATAATGGTAATAATGGCATAACAATGGTAGTACATGTACATTTGTGTCAATCACATGGTAAATATCAGTTCTGGTTATTTAGAGTATAATTCATCATAACTACAAACTAATGAGGTAATTGGAGGAGCATCCTCCAGCTGTACATGAGCTTGCAAAGGGAAGAGTTCAGACTAGCAACACTGAAATTACTTCACAGATTTACGTAGAAAAAGTTACAATTCTTTGTCATAGTGCATTACACTAATTTGTCATTTTGTCTACAGTTAAAGTGGGCTCATAGTCAGCATTATTATATAATAAACAGCAAAACAGCTCCCAAAACAATGTAAGGGAGTAGGATTTAAATCTAAGAACTTCGATTAAAGCATAATTTTCTAACTGTTTTCTAACCCTAAATTATTAAAATACAGAAAAAGTCATCATTATTTTAAAAAGATGCATCATTTAAAAAAGAAATTTCATTCCTTACAATACGGTTTAAAATGAACACAGAAGAAAACAGTGGTACATTAAATACAGTCAAGAGCATTTGGATGGCATGATGTGGACATAACCTTGTGTTCTCTGTTACGTGGCCCAGCCATTGGTTTTTCCTTGCTTTGATGCATATTTGATGATTGCTGAACTTTTCCCACTTATCCTGATGTGGACTGCCCACATATACTGTGTTAACACTTAAGAGTCAACATTTATTTACAATTTAAAAGCAGCACAGCTATCCTACATCCTACAGCTGTGCTCACTCCACTGCAGTACTGGAACGAGCACAACAGCTGGGATATCTCAGGGAATGCATCATTGTTCTGAAAGGCCTTTTTTTTCCTGTTTTTTCAGAAGGTGTCTCCTCATTATTTTTCTCAGCCATCTCAGCTTGCTCTGTCTGGGTTTGTTCTATTTGAAACTCGAGGTGTTTTTGAATGGCTACCCCGAGGACTTCTGGATCCACAGATGCCCCATACACTTCCCACGTCATTCCTTCATCATCCCATCGCACTTCACGTACTGGAGACATGGGGGCCTCTAAGTCTTGCTCCAGGTTCACCTCTGGGAACACATGTGAGTGACCTTCTGCTGCAGCTGCTGGGCTTGTTGCCACAGATTTGTATTCCGTGGTTGGAAGAGTTTGTACCTCGACATCTCTACACTCAAGAGCTGGTTTCAGTCCTTTGGTTAAATCATTCATAGAGGTCATAGTCCACATATCCTTAGTTGTCACTACCATGTCTGCACCTTGCTGGCTGCTAAGAGCAACACAGGCAGCCTTGGTTTCTGAAGGAGCTCTCTCCTGTTCAGCACAGTGCTGAGTATGTTGCAGTTGTTCTCCAGGGATGCTACAGCACTTCAGGACTCTCTTGGCATCCAGGCCTGACTCACTTACTGAAGACACCAGCTTAGGATATGTCAGAATGTCTGCAGCAGAAAAGGAGTGAAGATAGCCAGGTGCTGCCTGCTCTCTTCCTGTCTCACTAACTGAGCACACCAGCCGTGGAACGAGCTGTATGGATGGTATGGGCAAAGAGTGGCAATAGGCAGGGATGGTGGCATCAGCCTTCACACAGGCATTCTGCCTTATATTACAGGGGCCTGCAGAGTTGTTATGAACTGTCATCACTATGGGGGAGTATGCAGAGTTTGGAATATTACCATAAGTCACACCACCGTGAATAATCCCAGTGGCTTGACTGAACATTGTCCTGTTTTGGAAACCATTTCCAGGCATGTGGGGCCTCAGAACAGCAGCGTGAAATGTTCCAGGATCTGTGTAAACAGTAGTGTTGCGTGGAATACTGCCACTGTCAAAAGTGTTTGTGGGTACTTGTTGGTCTCTAGGTAGGACTGGAAGATGAGTCACAAGGTTTTGGTAGTGAGATGTATTTTCATTTGTTTCTGATCCATATCTCTGTGTTTGGGAGGACATTCTAGCCACTGGCAAACCATGCCTGCAGCTAGAAGAGCTTAGGCTTGAGTGAGTAGCACTGGTTTCTATGTGAGTGACATAAGCCTGCTGTTTGCAACTGCAAGTTAGGTCTGAGTGGCTTCTCTGAAGGCCAGTTCCTGATTCTTCCATTTTACATACGCTTTGCTGGTGAACACTGCAGGCTGAAGAAACATTCTCAACAGTGCTGCTCTTTACAGGCATCTTAGTGTCCCCCACTTCCCAGGATGCTGAGGACTGTTCAGATATAAGAAAATGGTTTGCAGTCTTAGTTCTTCTCTCTGAATGGTCATTGGCTGACTGGTCCCTTATGGTTTGGGCCTCTGACCCAAGTCCCATCACCCCAGGCTGCGAGAAGGACCACTCAGGACTCTGTACACTCCTTGCATCACTCCTGTTTTCCAGGATATGGCAGATGGTGCTACTATGGCTTTTCTTCAGCTCCTGTTTGTTGTTTTGCCTTTCTTCTAGAATTGATTGCCCAGTACAGGCCAGATTTGACGAGCTCTTGGACAGGAGGTGACTCTGGATATTCAAGAGACTGTGACAAGCAGAACTTTGTGAGTCCTCATAGGAATGAGTGTGGAGCTGGTGGCTGTCAGCTGACATGGCAAAAAAGAGAGATCTGCAAGAAATGGTGAAGAAGAAAAAGAAGCAATTTAAGAAGGAAATAAATGTACTGGAAACTATAACCTCTATTGACCTTCTGTCCAGGCTTCTTGCTTTTCACAGGTCACAAATACTTTTTGTAAAGCACAGTACTGTGGTCTGTGTGTACTCAGGCCAGTCAGTTTCCATTTTCCGTTTGCATGAAGGGTTTT